GATAGGGATTAGAGTCATGGAGGAGAGGTCTATCAGTGGCTCATGGTGACGTGGAGGGGAACCTCCACATTCAGAGGCACTAAGCCTCTGTATCCCTGAGCCGGGAGGCGACATCAGGGGAAGGCCTCTATGTGCGGGCTCACGTTCGGCATGTGCTTCGTCAGCTGCATTGGCTGCCAGTTGAGTACCGGATCTCCTTCAAGGTGTTGGTAATTACCTTCAAAGCCTTATGCGGCCTGGGACCAACATACCTAAGGGACCGCCTCTTCCCATATACACCTCGGAGAGCATTACGCTCTGAGAGTCAACATCTCCTGGCGATCCCTGGCCCAAAGGACCCAAGTCCTGTCTTACCGCTTTAATCTCTTCTGAAATCTTATCTTGAGATTGAAGAAAAGTATTCTGCAACACTGATATTTGCTCAGAGAGATCCTTAATCGATCTTGCCATCGTTAGACGTTAATTAGGGCTCAACAAGCCGGCCGTTTATTTCGCTGCGTTTGCTTGCTGAAATAGAGTGAGTAAACTCTTATCTCTAACCTTCTGGCTTGGCACAGCTGTTGTTTAATGTTTAGCACCTAATTATATGCTAGGCTTGAAGTTGTTTGCAGTTGTTTAAGCTATAAATACCTTAGTGTTTGGAGAGAGCTCGGAGCCAGGCGTCCTGCCGAGTTAACGCATGCGTGCAACCTCCTGCAGTTCAGCGTCTTAACCACTTGAGCCACCGCAGATATATGTCTACATGTTAAAAATTACATTTATTTCTTTAGATTCCAATAAAAGTATTCAAATATAAAAAACATAAAAGCATTATTAGTATTATATCACATCGAGATAATAATATGGGCTCATTAAATGTCAACATCGGCAATCTCCGATCTTCACTTAGGTTTCTTCTTAGCTTTACTTTTCTTCTTCTTTTGCCAGGGGAGATTTACTTTAAAGGTTTTAGGATCTTCTTCAGTTCCGCAGGGCTGGCAAGACGGAGCTGTTCCGCCAGGCCTTTGGCTGAAGCAGCGGGCGTCTACATATGGCCCCCCCAAGGTTGCTGTCCCCCACCCACTGATAACCGGCCATACTTAGCTACATCAGTGGGCCAGATTCTCCCAACGGGAAGCATGACTATTGATTTTATATGTTTTAACATGTTTTAAATGTTATTATATTTATCAAAATGTTGTGACCCGCCCTGAGCCCGTTTCCGGGATAGGTGGGATATAAATGCGAAAAAAAATAAATGTCCTGTTATTGGCCCTCCAGAGGTGCTGGCTGGCCACAATGTGAGACGAGATGCTGGACTAGATGGACCAGTGGTCTGATCCAGCAGGGCTCTTCTTATCCTCCTAGATCCACACACCAGGGAAAAACAACATAGGACTCCCGGTGTACATCTGGTTTGACAGGACCCAGGACAGACCTGTAAATGGTGGAACTCCTAGTTAGACCCTAAACCAGTTTACCTGTGTACTGCTAATCACATTTTTTTGCAATGAAGTCTGAGGAAAACTTACTGAATATATTAAATTGGCTGCTGACCCCAGTTACTACAATCTGTAGATCACCTTAATGTACTTTTCTTTTTTCATTCCGTGGCCTAGCTGTTCCGATACCGAAACCTGAGTTGATCTCCCGGCTGGAGCGAGGGGAAGGGCCATGGATCTCAAATCCCCCGGCTTTAGAGGAGAAGAAGCCGTGGATCCCCAGTCCCCATGTGTCTGAAGAAAAGAAGCCGTGGATCCCAAATCCCTTTCCTTTGGAGGAAAAAAAGATCCCTGTAAATATTTGTGAAGGTGAGAGAAGAGTTATTATGATGGCTTTTTTACAAACCTAAGTCTATGGTTGCCGTTTTTGGTGAAACAAATACCTATAATGACCTTGGAATAATATTGTTAATAATGCTAGCATGTTATAAATCTGCCAAAGGGAACTTTGACTCCCAGATATCTTGTTAGTCTTTGAGGAGCTACTGGACAAATATAGCATGTTATGTTATGATATTAGTACTTGCACTTATACAACACGCTTCAGACATTTCTAATATTTTACATGTACTGTTTTACAAGACCCCTGTAAGGAAGTCAATATAATTATTGCCCCATGCCAGACTTGAGGTGAAGGGGGAAGGCATAGCTTTCTTAAGATCACATTAGGGATGCCAGCCTCCAGGTGGGACCTGGGGATCCCCTGGAATTACAGCTTCAGACTATGGAGATCAGTTTCCCCGGAGAAAATGGATGGTTTGTGGGGTGGACTCTATGACATTGTACCCCACTGAGTTCCGTGTCCTCCCCAGGCCCCATCCTCAAATCTGCAGAAGTTTTCCAACCTGGATCGGGTGACCCTATCCCCCCATCCCCTGCCCGTGAGCAGGAGCGGCCTGGCAACCCTAATGGTAAGAGCAAGGGTCTAGCACCTTCAAGACGAACAAAATTTGTGGCAGGGTATGAGCTTTCATGAAGACGTGAGCCGTGACTCACGAAAGCTCCTCCCGTGCCACAAATTTTGTTAGCCTTTAAAGTGCTACTGGACTCTTGCTCTTTTCTGCTGCTGCAGACAGACTAACACAGCTGCCCATCTTGAACAATAGGGGAACAACGTGAGTCGGGTGGATGAACATACTGAGCTTTGTTTCACATGGGGATGAACAATGACAAGGTTCGGTTTGAGGATTCAAGGAGGAATTAGGTTTGCACTGTATGTTAAGGGAAGATTAGAAGTTTGTGTGGGCAGGAAACATGTAAGCACATGCTTCTGAGATGGCAGGCTTGGTTGTGGGGGGGGGTAAGCTGTGGGAAGGTTCACTAGCTTCCTAGTAGTCCCATGAGCGTGCAGAGAATCCTTAAGGGGAACAGCTTTCTGTGGGGAAACAGCTGGAAGCGACTGGAGAACAAGGACAAATTGAAAGGAGGAATTCCGCATGCAAAGCCAAGCCTCTGTTGAAATGCGTGAGCTGGTCTGCTGAATCCTCAGTTGGAGATTATGCAAATGGTATTAATTTTGCATGCATTCCACTGTTCTTTGTTGTTAAGGGGGAATGGGTTTGTAGGGGTTGTGTGCCGAATGTATAATTTTATGCATAGGCACGGAACCAGTGTAGCAGCTGAACAAATGAACTGCGATCTGGGAGATCTACAGTTCAAATTGTTTATCTGTCGCAGTTTTGCTAGGCAGCCTTAGGCAAGGTACCCTCTCTTAGCTTCAACCCCATAGCTGCAATATGGGGATATAGGCCTACCTTATGGGGCTATTGTAAGTGTCTGCTCTCAGAGGCGTTCATCCCCTTTGTTTCTGCATGGGTCGGTTTTGTCAGTGTGTCTGCCAACTGGGAGCAAGCACGCCCAGAGTAATAACTCATGCAGAGACGCAACAGGAAGCCTCCTCTTGAGGGTGAGGTATCTCTGCATCAGGTGTGGCTGGAAAATTCGGTGCTTGTGCATTTCAAAGGCCTGTGTATTTAATCTGATTCCAGTGGCACCTTTAAGACCAACAAAGTTTTATTTTAGGTATAAGCTTTCAGGTGCACGCACGCACTTCTTCAGAGACATATACATTTCCTGCATGCACACAAAAGAATAGAACTCTGTTAGTCTTTTTTTAAATGTACTTTTTGTTAAGATTATATGAAACTAAAATTTTAGTATATGAAAGTAACATTGAGGAAGACTGGGAGAGAAGGAAACAAAAGAAAAAGAAAAGGATCGGAGGAACATATCCTTTAAGAACTTACAACATTTTCTCCACCACAAAGCCAAATACAATCACTTAATACTAATTCTAAAATTTAAACATAACGACATACTCTAGTATCATAAGCAATACACGAGATCATATATTCTCTATTATTTAAAATTCACCTTACTCATCAAATCCGCAAATCATCAAATAATTTATTTAAATTTGCATGCAGAAAGTCAATAAGGGGCTTCCAACTAACAATAAAAGCAGATGTCTTTTCCTTCATCAAAGAAAAAAGTTTAGCCATTTCCACAGATTCCAGCATCTTTAACCACCATTCTTCTATTCTAGATATTTTTGTAAATTTCCAGTTCTGTGTATAAAGTAACCGGCCGTTGTAATCATCTATACAAAACAAGGCTCCATGCCTATTTCCAAGCCAACTGTTCATCAGTTCTAAAAGAAAAGCTTCTGGCTTAATTTGTATGTTAATTTTTAAAAAACCGTCTGTATTATTGAATGCATTTGTATCCAGAATTTCTTAGCTTTATTACAAGTCCACCACATATGATAAAATGTCCCTTTGTGCCGCTCACATTCCCAACATTTGTTCGAAGTAATTTTATACATTTTAGCTAATTTATCTAGGGGAGACTTTGTTGGTCTTAAAGGTGCCACTTGGCTCAAACTTTAATCTGCTGCTTCAGACCAACACGGCTGCCCACCTATGTATTTAAATCACATTTTTATCCCTCTTTCTCTGTCCGTGGAGCTCATGTCTTCCCTCCTCCCTGTTATCCTCACAACAAGCGTGCTGGGAGAAAGTAGGAACCCCACCCCGGCGTGCGCGTCACCAGGAAGTGACGTTATGAGGCCGGGCACGCTGGAGGGGGAAACTCTATGTTTCCCCCTTGGATGGTCGTGGCCCCGCCCCCAGCGTGCCCGGCGTCATAACGTCACTTCCTGGTGACGTGCGTGCGGTGTGTGCGCGCATAAGATGCCGGACGGGAGTCCCCCGCTTCCGAAGATTTTCAACTTGGCAACCCTAGGAGAAAGTGTCTGGCCCACCCAGTGAACTGCCTGGCCGAGTGGGGGCGTGACCTTTGTCCCCCAGTCCTAGTCCGGCACTGTAACCACTACAAAAGCGTGTTCCCTTTCGTGTTCTTTCAAATGCTGCTTCTAAATCTGGATCTTTAGGATTGGGCAGGTTAGAAATCTAAAATAAAGATGCTCATGGGATTATTTCCAAGAAAGAAAGAAAAAGAAACTTCGATTGTTCTCCTTTCCAGAATCTCTCTTACCCTTTTCCCACCTCTGTTCTCCAGGGATCACGGGGAATAATACTTGTCTGGATTCTCCCTCTATCCCAGCAAGCGAGGTCATAGTGAGGGAGATCAAGGAAGAGAGCCCCGAACAGGAAATCCCCAAACAAACTGAGCCCCAATGGACTTTACTGGGATCGCTCTCAGGGAACGCCGGCTTGAACCCTGAGACCTACGAGACCCGGTGCGGATTGCAGAGGCAGTGGGACGTGCCGCAGGGGAACACATGGCGAGAACCCTCCCGCCACTTGAGGGCGGCAAACTCCAAGAGGAGCATGTTCCACGTGGGGCGAAAGAAGCTGATGTGCCCGGAGTGTGACCGGTGGTTCCACTGCAAATCTGAGTTTTTGCTGCACTGGAGGACTCACACGGGGGAGAAGCCCTACGAATGCCTCGCTTGCGGGAAGAGGTTCATCCAGAGCTCCCACCTGAGTGCCCACCGGCGCATCCACACGGGGGAGAAACCCTATGAGTGCCCCAAGTGTGGGCGGAGCTTCAACCGCCGCTCCACCCTAACCGAGCACCTGCGGATCCATACAGGCGAGAAGCCCTACAAATGCCTTGAGTGCGGGGAGAGCTTCCGATGGAGGCCTTACCTGACCAAGCACCAGAGGGTCCACATGGGGAATGCTGCCTATAAAGGCCTGGACAATGGAGAAGCCATGCTTGAAAACTCATCCCTGGCTGACCATCAGGGAATCCACCCAGGTGAGCAGGTTCTTAATTCAGTAGTAATTCCTGTAATATTCTCTCCCTCCCTCTCTCTCTCTCTCTCTCTCTCTCTCTCTCTCTCACACACACACACACACACACGCATGCAACATTTCTCTCCTCCATTATATCCCCACAACAACCCTGTGAGGTAGGGTAGGCTGAGAGTATGTGCCTGGCCCCAGGTCACCCAGCAAGGCTCTGTAGCAGAGTGGGGATTCGAACCTGGGTCTCCCAGATATAGTCTGACCCTCTCATTCAGTTTCTCAATCAGATTGCAAGATCAGCCCTGCACGGTTGGCCACCTGGATGCACTCAGGGACAACAGAAAAGAAAGTTGAACATGAGAGCAGCATCTCTTCTTGCAATTGTTACTCAGAAAAAGAAGAAGAGATTGGATTTATAATCCGTCCTTCACTAGCTGCTCAGAGCAGCTTCCAATCTCCTTTCCATTCCCCTCCCCACAACAGAGACCCTGTGAGGTAGGTGGGGCTGAGAGAGCTCTTTCGAGGACTGCTCGTGAGAGAACAGCTCTGAAAGAACTTATGACTGACCCAAGGTCACACCAGCAGCTGCATGTGGAGGAGTGGGGAATCAAACCCGGTTCTTCCAGAGTCCATGCTCTTAAGCAGTATACCAAACTGGCTCTTAGACTGACTGCTCTGGGCATGGAGGCTTTTTTTAGCTATTTGAGCAAATAGGCCATTATAATAGAGTGCTCGGACTGAGGAAGCTGGGGTTCAAATCTTTACTGTGCTTGGAAGCTTACTGGGTGATCACTCACTCTCTCACCACCTGACCCAGTTACACAAGGTTGCTGTAATGGGCAGTGGGAGCTGGGAGAGGGACATCCCTCACTAGGGTTTCCAGGTCCCTCCTAGCAACCAGAGGGGGATGTGGGGAACTTACCAGGAGCAGCAGGGAGGCCCATCCAACATACAGCAACATGTCCATATCACTGTCCGTGTGATTAGGAAGTGATGTTATCACATCTGGACATCAGAGGTGATGCCCTGGTATTTGGGCAAAAACTCTATGGTAAATTTGGCTTCTACCATAAGAGTTTTTGTTCAAATATCAGAACATGGCCCCCCTGACGGCCCGAATGTGATGACATCACTCTGGGTCATGTGGGCAGTGACGTAGACATGTTGCTGCATGTCAGATGGATCTCCTTTTGGGGGGTAAGTTCCCCCCTGTCTGCCAGCTGATTGGTGGCGGGGAGGTTGGGCCTGACAGCAGGGGACCCCCACCTCTGGCAGCCTTATCCATCACTGTAAGGAAGATGCAGGGGGCAGGGAAGCATCAAGGGAGAACATTTAAAAGAAAAATAAGGCCTTGTCTTCTTATAGGAAGTTCTGACCATAGAGTTTCTGGTGACTTCTAGAGCTACCCTTTGTCGCTTCTGGGTACCTCTAGAAATCACCGGTAACTCTATAGTCAGAACCTGTAAGCAGAAGAGGCCTTATTTTTCTCCCTTGGTGCAGCAGAGACTGGGATGGTGGAAAATATCCTTTACACAATAGGGAGAATTTAAGAAACTCCCTGAGCTATTAGAGCCATGTAATTTAGTGGGTAGAAGCTCTGACTAGGATGTAGGCGGTCCAAGCTCAAATCCACAGTTTGCTACTGAAATTTGTTGGCTGGTTGACGCTGGGGCAGACCCACATTCTCAGAGCAACATATCTCACAGTAGGTAGATCAAGATGGGTAACCATGTTAGTCTGTCTGTAGCAATAGAAAAGAGCAAGAATCCTGTAGCACCTAAGAACATAAGAGAAGCCAATGTTGGGCAAGGCCAATGGCCCATCCAGTCCAACACTCTGTGTCACACAGTGGCCAAAAATGCCAGGTGCCATCAGGAGGTCCAGCAGTGGGGCCAGAACACTAGAGGCCCTCCCACTGCCCCCCCCCCAGCACCAAGAATACAGAGCATCACTTGCCCCAGACTGAGTGTTCCTATTTATACCTTGTGGCTAATAGCCACATCCTTTATTCACCTTAAAGACCATATTCACCTTAAAGACGAACAAAATTTGTGGCGGGGCATGAGCTTTCGTGAGCTGCTGCTCACGTCTTCAGAGGAAGTGACTGGAAAAAGTGAGCGGTGACTTACAAAAGCGCCTCCCCTGCCACACATTTTGTTAGTCTTTCCGGTGCTACTGGACTCTGGCTCTTTTCTAATACCTCATGGGGTTGTTGTTGTGAGGATAAAAAGGAGGAGAGAACAGTGTAAGCCATTTCGGGTGCCAGTTGGGGGGAAAAGCAGGGTATGACTTTGATTATCTAATTTTGCGTACTGTTCGGCTGGGAAGGATGATCCCTGAGGCTGTTTCTTTATTCGGAATTGCTGCTTCTTTTTAGTCAACAGGCAGTGTTGTCAACTCCAAGCTGGGAAATTCCTGGAGGTCTGGGGGTGGAGCCTAGGGAGGGCGGGGTTTGGGGAGAGGTGGTACCTCAGTGGGGTAGAACACCAGAGAGTCCACCTTCCAAAGTAGCCATTTTTTCCAGCGGAGTTGATCTCTGTCATCTGGAGATCAGGAGATGGCAACCCTAGGCAGAGCAGAGTGAGCTTGCGCACCTCTTTTAGAGCCTGTAATTATATCACATCAACATGATTTTTTTTTTCAAAATGTTCATTTATTTGGCTTGGGGCTACATAGAAACCGGACTTCCAATTTGCAGTATTTTTTGGCTGCATCCTGCAGTGGAATTGCAATCCCAGCATGGTGCAGGAAAGGGCAACCAGAACATCAGAGCATCTGCCCTACAAGAAGAGGCTGAAACATTTATAGCTTTTGGGTTGAGAAAGGGGGGGGGGCTGAGATGCACACAGTTGTAAATGGGATGGGAACAGGAGACAGAGAGAAATAGTCTCTCTTCCTCTCATAATGCTAGAATTTTTTTGTGAATGAGATCAGTCAGCGAAAAGGTTCAGAAGAGAGAGAACATGCAGTTGGCTTGTGGAACTCTCCGCCGCAAGATCTGGCTGTGGCTGTTAGCCTCACATGGCTTTTATAAAAAGGCTAGGCAATGTCACAGAGGTCACATAACCAGTCAGAGGAGATAATGTGGAACTAGACTGATCAGTGGTCTGACTTGGTATACAACTGCTTCATTTGGTCATTGTTTCAAGTAACAATGCCATTTTTCTGGATATATTTGCCAGGCATTCTCTCTATTTGACTCTTTCTCCCCCCCCCCCCCCCCCCCCAAGCAGGCATTGCCTTGGCAGGTGGAAAAGCCGAGGCCGGTCTCCAGAATGCTGGGTCAGTCAATCAGCAGGGGTCCGTGCGTCAACCAGAGCCTTCCGATGGTAAACAAGATTCAGTGGCTCAGCTGCTGGAGAGGCCCATCAAGACGGAAGCAGAGCTGACTCTGGACGGGAACGATGTTACTGACGTCAGCCAGATCAAGATCGTCCAAGTCGAGAAGAAACACGTGTGTCACGAGTGCGGGAAAGCCTTCCAGTACAAGTTCGAGCTAGTGAAGCATCACCGGACCCACACGGGGGAGAAGCCTTTCGAATGCCTGGCCTGCGGGAAGCGCTTTTTCCAGAGCACACACCTCAACGCCCACCTGCGCATCCACACGGGGGAGAAGCCCTACGAGTGCCCCAAGTGTGGGCGGAGCTTCAACCGCCGCTCCACCCTGACCGAGCACCTGAGGATTCACACGGGGGAAAAGCCGTACAAGTGCCTGCAGTGCGGGGAGAGCTTCCGATGGAGGCCATACCTGACCAAGCACCAGAGGGTCCATGTGGGGGACAATGCCTACAAGTACTTTGACAATGGGGAGAGTCTCTACGACAGCTCTGTTTTCCCTGACCCTCCAGAAGGAATCCACCCAGGTGGGGGAAGCAAAATCTGCAAAATTAGGTTCTGAAAAGTTAGGTTTGGTGCTTTGTGGTACTTGACATTGAATAACAATGCTGGGTTAGCAAGAAGTTTGCATCCTGTGTATCAGGGGTCCCCAACGTGGTGCCCACCGACACCTTTCCCGGTGCCTGCAAGGTGTTTTTAGAAAGTGGATAGGGCTAGGTGGGGATTTTGCCCAGCAAGGCTTCTGATTGGCTGCTGGAGATTTGATTGGCTGTGTAGATTTTTTAAAATGTAATTTTGTCGGCAGCTGCCACCACAGCACAAGGAGCTTCACTATGTGACTTAAGGTAAGCTGTGGCAGCCATTTTGTGGCTGGCTTTGCCTCCTGTGGCAGCCATTTTGTAGCCATGCCCACCCAACTGTCAGAATTCCAAAGGTTCCTGCAGGCTCAAAAAAGGTTGAGGGCCCGTGCTGTATGTACTGTACTACCCTGACCTGGATGTCCAAGGCCTGCTTGATCTCATCAGATTTCAAAAGCTAAGCAAGGTCCGCCCTTGGATGGGAGACCACCAAGGAAGTCTAGGGTTGGTCCGCAGAGGCAAGCAATGACAAACCACCTCTGAACAACTCTTGCCCTTGAAAACCCTATAGGGTCACCATGAGTCAGGTGTGCCTTGACTGTTCACTTTACCATATATACTATGCAAATTATTGGTGTAGGTTTGCATGTGTATTCTGCTGCACCATTCACAGGGAAGGACGGAAGGTTAGCCTTCCGTGCCTGGAAATCCTTCAGCACTCTAATCCGCCATCCACTTTTGAGCAGATTTTATCGATTTATTCAGTGATTCAAACTCATTCAATTAATTGACTAAAATATCATCAGTATTTCGACCTACTGATTCTAATACTTATGATACCCAAGAGCCAAGGGCTGGCCTCTCTGTGTGGTTGGATCAGCTGCCGTTATCATGTGAGGTTCTGCAAATCTGGGAGAAAATTGGGAAAGGCTGCGGCTCATTGGCAGAGCATCTGCTTTGCATGCAGAAGGTCCCAGTTTCAATCCCTGGCATCTCCAGTTAAAAGGATCAGGTAGGAGGTGATGTGAAAGACCTCAGCCTGAGACCCTGCGCAACCGCTGCCAGCCAGAGTAGACAGTATTGATTCTGATGGACCCAGGCTCTGATTCAGTAGAAGGCAACTTCATGTTTTCAAAATCTCAGCTCTACCCTAATTCAGGGGGTAACCCTCCCAAAGGCTAATAGCAGCAACTGCATGTGTGTAAATCATCACCGCTCCATGGGCAGAGTTCAAGCAGGGCTTTCGGTTGCCCTGACAACCGAGTGGCTGGCCAGCAGGAGGTGGCAAGGGGCTGAAGTGAGCTAATGAAGAAAGAGGGTGATAGTGGTGTTGGAGCCAGTGGTGTGGGAAGAAAGAATGTGGGGCCTGGAAAGAAAGGGGGAGAGGAAAAATGTGAGTCTACACAGGATCCCTATCTGTATTTACTATTTGTGAAAAATCGGGGGGGGGGATGCTTCAAAACACTCAGGGAGACATACCCAACCCAGTGGGTTTGTAATCTGAATAATTTCACCAGAGAATGAATACAAGAAGAGATTGGATTTATACCCCGCCCTTCCCTCAGAGTCTCAGAGCTGTTTACAATATCCTTCCCCTCCCCACAACAGACACCCTGTGATGGAGGTGGGGCTGAGAGAGCTCTTTCGATGACTGCTCTTGAGAGAACAGCTCTGAGAGAACTTATGACTGACCCAGGGTCACGCCAGCAGCTGCATGTGGAGGAGTGGGGAATCAAACCCGGTACTCCCAGATTAGCGTCTGTGCTCCTGACCACTACAACAAGCTAGCTCTCCAGTGTGGTGTACTGGTTAGAGCATGGGTCCCCAGCGTGGTGCCCATGGCGACTTTAGAGCCTGCCAATGCCTTTTCTAGCGCTTGCCAAGTGTCTTTACAAAGTGGGAGGGGCCATATGGGCCTGTGTCCCAGCAAGGCTTCTGATTGGCTGTGCAGAGTTTTAAAAACATTTTGGCGGCAGCTCTCTCCACAGCACAAGGGATCTTCACTGTGGGACCGAAAGTAAACAGCTGCACAGCCATTTTGTGGCTGGCTCCACCTCCCACAGCAGCCATTTTGTAGCTGCACCCACCACGCTATGTCAGAATTCCAAAGGTGTCTGCAGACTCAAAAAGGCTGAGGACTCTCCTGCATTAGAGTGTCAGACTGTGATCTAGGAGACCCAGGTTGAAATCCTGACTCTGTTGTAGAAGCTTGCTGAGTGACCTTGGGCAAGTCACGCCCAGGGTTGCCAGCCCCCAGGTCTGAGAAGGAGATCCTCCACTTTTGTGGGCTTCTCCCTGCCACAGACCGGTTGGCTGGCGGGGAAAACCCTGCCCCTAAACAGGGACGTTGCTGCGTGACGTCCCCAATGTGATGACACTTCACACAGAAGTGACATCATCGTGCTGGAGGTGCTCTGGGGTTGTTGTTTTTTTGGCAAAACTATGGTTTGAGGGTGAATTTACCACAGAGTTTCACCCAAAAGCCAGAGCATCGCCCTGGGTGACATCACTGCATCACGTGACATCCCCACCCACCCTCAGAAAGGCCCCCCAAATCCCCCCGCTGGATCGACGAGGGGACCTGGCAATCCTAGTCACACCCTCTCAGCCTAACCTACCTCACTAGGTTGTTATGAGGATAACAAGGGGAGGAGAATGGTTTAAGCCATGTTGGGTCCCTGTTGGGGAGCAAGGCTGAGAGGGTTTGTTAAATTAATTTGTTAAGTTAACCTAAAATTCAACTACCTTCCTATCCTCATTTAATATATTTTTTCTGTTTTCACCCTGTCAGAATATCTGGTTTCCACACCTGACATGCTGTCCCATATAGGACCTCAGGGAGAGCCATGGCTACCCAATAGCCAGGGCTCCACGGAGAGGCGGGGCCTTGGAAGCGGTCATGAAGCCGAAGGACCAGTGGAGCCATCCCAGGGTCGACCTGAGGGAGAACCAGAGCCTTCGGACTCACCTCAATGCCTCTCGCCGTCTCACAGTAGCATAGGAGCCAGTGATTCTTGTAAGTCACCCTTTGTTCCACTAAGGTGAAGCTGATGGGCCAGTAGATTCAGGACAGACAAATGGAAGTACCACTTTACACAGAGAGTGATTAAAATGTAGAATTCACTGCCAGGGGATATAGCAATCGCCACAGGAATAAACGGCTTTAAAGGGGGATTAGATAGATTCGTGGAAGATAAGTCTGTCAGTGACTGCTAGCCATGGTGACTGAGAGGAACCTCCACATTCAGAGGAATCCCAGAGCCAGGAGGCAACATCAGGGGAAGGCCTCAGTCTCTATGCCCTGTTGTTGGCCATCCAGAGAAACTGGTTGGCCACTGTATGAGACAGGGTGCTGAACTAGAGGGACCATTGGTCTGATCCAGCAGGGCTCTTCTTATGTTCTTTTGTTATAAAAAGGGATTAGATAGATTCGTGGAAGATAAGTCTGTCAGTGACTGCTAGCCATGGTGACTGAGAGGAACCTCCACATTCAGAGGAATCCCAGAGCCAGGAGGCAACATCAGGGGAAGGCCTCAGTCTCTATGCCCTGTTGTTGGCCATCCAGAGAAACTGGTTGGCCACTGTGTGACTCAAAAATGATGGTCACAGTCACAGAACAGACCGCAAAAAGAAGAAACTGTGAGGTAACTGCGCTAGAAAATATTTCAATAAACAATCACAAAATATATACAAAAATGTGTACAAAAATCATATAAATGCACAAGGCAGTTGAAAATGGTGTGACGATGGTCTCCGGAATGTTCTATCATTTCAATACTATTCTTCTTCCGAAAGTGGATGAAAGCAGTGACTCTTGGTCTGTCATTTCAACAAGTAGGTATCAAAAATTTCATTATTATTCACCGATGTCTCATAACTTAGTTGCAAGAAATTCTCTGAAAGAATGTTCCTAGGGCAAAGTGCTTGTGAGCCAGGATGCTGGACTAGATGGACCGTTGGTCTGATCCAGCAGGCCTCTTCTTATGTTCTTAAGGTGGCGAATCTGTTTGGCACCATGCCACTTGGGACTGTGGGTAGGCATCTGTGCGAATGAATGCATGCTGCTCCTTAACCAAGAAACGGAAATGTTAAAATCTTCATACAGAAAACTAAAATTGTGAGGGAGAAGGGTTCCAGCTAAGGCGCCTCATGACACGCTCATTTTCTGTGTGAGGTGCAAGAAGAGAGGGTACGGAGGGGGTGAGGTTCGTGGTTTCATGCCCTTTGTACTTTCCCTAAGCAAGATGAAGTGCCATGTCTTGGTGTCACCACTCACGCAGACGTGGGCAACGACATGGAAGCGCAGACCAAGAGACTGAGGAGGAGTCTGTGCTAAGAAAGCCCTTTTGCAGAACTGAAAACACACAATTTAACATTACCAATCATTGAAGTGGTTGATCTGTAAAGTTTCTACCACCCAAACACTGTTTGTTGTGAGTCCTTTGCTAGGAAATGAAACACATACACCAGGGGTCTCATGATAAGTCATAAGTACATCCAGTCACACCCTGCATAGTCGTTTGAAGTGTACTGGCATAAATCTGCATGTGATGCACTCTTGTATTACTGGCAGCTGTTCTCCCCTCTCATTTTCCTCTCAGCAAAACATCTCTAACAAGCCCTCTAGTCCCACAAAAAGCAAAACAGAAAAAACTTTGCCTGCCATTTCCTTCCCATACTGATTATTTTTAGAGGGTTCTGGGTGCTTCCTGCAGATTTTGTCTCCACTCTCTTCCTTCTCCTGGTTATTGAGCTGCCTGAGTATCTCAACCACGTTGGCCGAAGGCCTGTTTGGCCCGCAGTTCTTTGTCGTGGCAGCCTTCCTGCACTGAGTGCAGGCAGTGTTGGCAGGAAACTCCTTCCAGCACTGGGCAATGCAGCTCCCACAGTCCAGAAGGACTAAAGGTAAAGGTAAAGGTTCCCTTGCTCGAAAGCCAGTCGAATCCGACTCTAGGGTTGCGGTGCTTATCTCCGTTTCAAAGCCGAAGAGCCAGCGCTGTCCGAAGACATTTCTGTGGTCATGTGGCCGACATGACTAAACACCAAGGTGCACGGAACGCTGTTACCTTCCCACTGAAGTGGTACCTATTTATCTACTTGCAAAATCTTGCTTTCGAACTGCTAGGTTGGCAGGAGCTGGAACTAGTCTGTCTCCTAAACCCAAGCTCCCATTGATTAAAACCCTGTCAACAGGCTGGTGCAGTCAGGGAGTGTGGGTCCTGGGGGCCTGCTCCCCACTTTCCTAAGAACATAAGAGAAGCCACGTTGGATAAGGCCAATGGCCCACCCAGTCCAACACTCTGTGTCATACAGTGGCCAAAACCCAGCTGACATCAGGAGGTCCACCAGTGGGGCCAGAACTCCAGAAGCCCTCCCACTGTTGCCCCCCAAGCATCAAGAATACAGAGCATCACTGCCCCAGACAGAGTGTTCCCTCTATGCCTTGTGACCAAAAGCCACTGACAGACCTCTGCTCCAGATGTTTATCCAGTCCCCTCTTGAAGCTGTCTGTGCTTGTAGCTGCCACCGCTTCCTGCAGCAGTGAATTCCACCTGTTCATTATTCCTGCCTGTTTGCATGCCTCTCTGCCGCCGCCTGTCTATAGCTCCTTCCCCTACCCACTCACACATAACCCACTCTCCCTCATGCACCCTTCCCCCAAGAGCACTGGGTGGTGCATGCATTGGGAGGACTTACAAGTGGGTGGGGTCAGGGAGAGCAGTGGTCAGGGGCCCCACTGAAAGCCCTTGGCTTCAATAGGTATCCTACCTTTGCCTATACTGATGCTGGCCATGACAGGAGGGGGAGATTGAATTTCTACCCCACCCTTCACTACCCAAAGGAGTCTCAGAGTGGCTTACAGTCTCCTTTCCCTTCCCCTCCCCACTACAGACACCCTGTGAGCAATGTTCCCTCTAAGCTGTGGAGTCCTGTGAGCAAAAATTCTACTTTGTGAGCTGCTGGCATTTAAGTTGTGAGCAGGTGATTTGGCTACTGCATCAGTTAGTTTGCTCTGGGGCCATTCTTCCTGAGCTAAGACAAAAATCTGTGAGCCAGAGGCTAAAAAACTGTGAGCTACCTCACACTAACTCAGCTTAGAGGGAACACTGCCTGTGAGGTAGGTGAGGCTGAGAGAGCTCTTTCGAGAACTGTTCTTGAGAGAACAGCTCAGAGAGAGCTTGTAACTGACCCAAGGTCACACCAGCAGCTGCCTGTGGAGGAGTGAGGAATCAAACCTGGTTCTCCCAGATTAGAGTCCGCGTTCTTAACCACCACACCAAACTGGCTCAGACCATCTGTCTATCGTCTACTCAGACTGGCAGCAGCTCTCCAGGGTCTCAAGGCAGAGGTCTTTCACATCACCTACCGCCAGATCCTTTAACTGGAGATGCCGGGGATTGAACCCAAGACCTTCTGCATGCGGAAGCTCTACCACTGAGCCACAGCCCCAACTCACTCATCTTTCTCCCTCTCTTTACTAGGTGATACCATGGTGACTGAACACCCGGGAGAAAATCCTCAGCCAAGAAGCCCTGAGCTAGACAAACTCAACGCATTTCCAGGCAGATCACGGGGGGATCTTTCCCCAAAGCCCAGGGTCACCCCTGAAAGCAGACTTGGATCACTGGAACAGCCAGCCAAGGAACTGCGGGAATCTCTTTAGTGTGTGGGGTAGGTTTTTTAGAAAAGGCTGCTCCCGGGAATCAGCTTTTGTTGAAAAGAAAGCGTCTTCCTAGTCATTACAGCTACAGAAGTCTTGGGAGCCTAAGGGAGGCTGAGTCTTCACGGGATGGGCCTTGAGTCCCGTGGATAGCTGTCAATCTGAGACCGTCGCTGACATAGTAAACCTATTTACTTCACAGCATGAGACTGGTAGAGGGGTGATGGGCAGGACTGAATGCTTCTCTCGGTGCAAGAACCCCCAAATCCTCTGCATATAATAATTTTAAAAGTTTAGTCTCTGTCAGGGAGGATTAGTCTTGGCATGCATGTTTTCCATTTATTAATTTATTTAAACATTTATATTCTGCCTTTAGGCAGCTGACAAAAATAGTTAAAAACATTTTCAGCTAAAAATCCTCCTCCCTTTTCTCACAGTCCGGGCATTTGAGTAGCTCACTGGGTCAAGTCCCACTTTAGCCCACAAGGTTCTGGCTCAGTTGTTAGGATTTCTGATACTTGGCAGGAAAAGCAGCTGGTCTGGCCCACCACAACTCCAAACGACAGCGGAGAACTACTTTTTTTAGGTCGGCATCCTGTGCTTCTCTACGTCACTTTCGGGGAATACCTGGAGTCGACATAAGGTAGCTTTAAGAATTGCCAGAAACTCTGTGGTTTTACCACATGGTTTTGACAGAGTTTTGGTGATTCTTAAGAGTGACCTTATGTCTCTTCCAGGTGTCCTCCTGAAATGATGTAGAGAGAGGAGAGGGGCGGGACACCACCCCCCCCCCCCCCCCTGTCCGCCCCAAGCATCCTGCCAGTTGGCACATGTCTGGCAACCCTGATCAGGGGACTTGTTCCTCCCTGGCACCTTTATAGGAAAAGTCCTCAGGTACGGTCTGAAGGCACCTTGTTGAAGCTTCTAGGACATCTAGATCCGGCCAGTGTCTGGATGGGAGACTTTCTTGGAAAAGCCCAGGGACATCACCAGGGCTTTTTTTGTAGAAAAAGCCCAGCAGGAACGCATTAGCATAATAGGCCACACCCAACAGCAGACACTCATTAGCATATTAGGCTACACCCTTGACAGCACAGCACATTGGCATATTAGGCCACACCCCCGTGTTACCAGAAGTGTGGTCATCCAGCCACACCCACCTTTTGCTTCTTATTCTGTTTACCTTGTT